GACATAGCAAAAGCAGTGCTGAGAGGGCAATTTATAACAATAAACACACACATCTGAAGAGAAGAAAGAACCAAAATCAACACAATAACACAAGATAGCCAACAATTAGAAAAAGACCAGCAAGTAAGCCTATAGTCATCAGAAAAAAAGAAATAATATAGATTAGAGCAGATATAAATACAAAACAGAAAAGCAAAAAGTGTTTTGTTCTGTTGTTCATAAGGTCGCTATAAATTGATACTAACTCGATGGCATCTAACTACTCAAGAATGCCACAAAATAGACCCCATTATTATTTCTATTTTATAGATCATTATTCCTATAAGCCTGTATCTCAGAAGCTTGAACTATATCACTATCTCTTTAATACTGGGTTTTTAAAATATTTTAAACCATGAGAATTTACAGCACCCAAATTTCACCAAAAGATTTACAGGTCTGTAAGGTAAACAATAGGATCAGGGAGGTACACAATCCTTAGAAGAGTCAATCATACAAAATCAAAAGGGTAGCAGTTGCCCAGGAATAAAGCTCAGAGACCAGAAAGGATAGAAAAGACAGACAGGGGACAGTAAATTAAGGGAAGAAGTGGAAGTGTTGTTACATTGCAGGGAATGCAATCAATGCCCCCAAACAAAACAAAATGTGTAAGACATGAACTGCTGACCCAAATCAAAATAAAAAGTCAAAAAAATAAATAAAGAATGTCTGTATTGGTTTTGTGCTCTTTTAAGAGCAATCCATAAATCCATATAGGATCAAACTGAAAACAATTTGGAAGATTAGATAGAATCTTAGGAGCCAGTGAATTTAGCAATCCATAAATCCAAATAGGATCAAACTGAAAACAATTTGGAAGATTAGATAGAACCTTAGGAGCCAGTGAATGGGGGAAGAACAACTCAAAAAGCAGTTCAAAGAATCTAAATTAGCAGCTAAAAGTTTCAAAAAGTTCCCTAGATCTCTTAACATTTTTGCTTATACAAGCAGTTTATACAGTCAACTTGCACTTCATGAAGGCAATTAGTTTTAGGAACAAGACATCAAGATAAGACTAAAATTTGTAATGTTCTGCAAAATTGACACATAATCCAGTATCAGTAATGGATTAGAAGACTCACCAGGTAATCTCCTATTTAGTAACCAGAAACTGACATCATTTGCAGTTTCCAATACTTTGTGAGAGAAATTGCATTTTTATTTTTTCATTTTACTTACCAAACATCTAGAATTAAATGAAATTTTAACATTTTCATAAAAAATGTGTTACATTCTTTTTTAGACTATCACAAAGATATTTACAGTTTTAAACTTCATGTAAATATCTACATTCTAAAACTGAGCATCTGTCAGAAATAATCCAACCAATTAATTTTATAAAGCCTTTAATGTTAAGACTTACCTGCTTCATTGTTAATTGGGAAATCCCACAGTTTCCCCTCTTTTGTCCACTGGATCATCTCTTCAAAACCGTTCTGAAAGGGCTGTTGATTTACTGTAGCTAACTGCTTAGCAAATTCCACATCCCAAATTGAAAGTGATGTTTCTGCACATTTAAAACAATAAGCACAGATGAGTGTAAATATCTTTTGAAAAAAAATATTAACGTCATTATCTGAATTGAACTGGACAGTAATAATTAAATAGTTGTTGTTGTTAGGTACCATCAAGTAGGATTCTGACTCATTGTTGTTGTTGTAAGGTGCCATCGAGTTGGTACC